CTTTTTACATAAATTTTACCTTTATCAGCTTGTGTAATTAATATGAGTAAGAAGGACCGCTAACATTTATTAAACCCAAAAGAATCAATGCATTCAAGGGAAACCTACTGAAAGAATGTGTGACTGACTCAGATAACACAAAAACAAAAACTTCGTTACACGTACATATACTACTATATAAAACCATGTTTAAACCTTTGGATTGTAGAAGGCTTTTAAAACTAACATATTACTGAAAAGAAGAAAGTTGCTGTTTTCTATTCTATAGGTGCTACTTTAAAGGAGCCTTTTATACATGATGTTTATAAGATTGGAAAGCTGAAGTTAAAGCGTGGCTATGAACATTTATTCATTCACACAGGTGTTTATCGAGCACCCACTGCATGCTGGCATTTGCTCAGGGCAGAGGGGATGCAGCTGTGAACCCTAAGGACTAAGCACCTGCCCTCCTGCAGCTTATATGCTACTGAGATAGACAATAAGCAAACAATGTACCATATAATGTCCAGTATTAGAATGTGTTATAAACCACACTGAAATAAGAGTGCGGGGATAGAGAGAATGGGGGTTAGGTGGGGAAAGGAGTTACTTTAGAGGGAGGGGACATTGAGCAGAGGCTTGATGATGTGAGGGAGAGAGACATCAACCCTTGGGTGGAGAGGGTTTCAGGCAGAGGGAAACAACCGTGCAAAGGGTGGGAGGCTGGAATGAGCCTGGCAAGTGTGGTCAGTTGACAGGATGTGGCAGAGCAGAAGTGGACAGTGATAGGATCTAAGGTCAGAGAGGAAGCCAGAACCAACGTATCATATAGGGTCTGGTACACCAGCATTGCTGTTGTTAGCTGCTGTTGAGTTGGACCCTAACTCATGGCGACCCCATGTACAACACAACAAAATGCTGCCTGGCCCTGTGCCATCCCCACAACTGGTTGCAGATTGGACCGTTGTGATCCATACGATTTCCATTAGCTGATTTCTGGAAGTAGATCGCAAGGCCTTTCTAAGGAGTTTGTTTCTTCCACTGCATTTGGAAGCTACTGAAAGGGTCTTACAAAGGGGGTGAACATGCTTTGATCTGTCTTTTCAAAAGATCACTCTGGAGTTGCTTTCTGGAGAATGCACAGTGGGGGGCAGGGAGTAGCAAGAGTGAAATCAGGGAGACAGGGTGAAGGCTCTCTTTGGTAATGAAGGTCAGAGGTGACAGAGTGGCTTGGACTACAGCGTACGAGCTGGGGAAAAGTGGGCAAATTTGGAATATATTTTTGGGGTGGAACTGATGGTATCTACTACTTCTTTCGGCTTCAAAAACTGGATAGAATTATAGTGGAATTTACTGAAGTGAGTAAATTTATGGAGAACAGCTTTAGGAGAAAAATCAAGAGTTCAGGTTTGAGATACATATTAGTAGGCTTACCATATAATTTATCCAAAAATGGGGCACTTTGAAAATGAAAGGGGAGTTATTAATTATTAAGATAGGACAACAGGCATAAACCAAGATGTATGGTCATCCTGCCAGAAATTCAAGCCGGATTTAGAAGAGGATGTGGAACAAGGGATATCACTGTTGATGTCAGACGGCTCTTGGCTGAAAGCAGAGAGTATCAGAAAGATGTCCACCTGTGCATTATTAACTATACAAAGGCATTCAACTGTGTGCATCATAACAAATTATGGATAACGTTGTGAAGGATGGGAATTCCAGGGTACTTAATTGTGCTCATGCGGAACCTGTACACAGACCAAGAGGCAGTTGTTCCAACAGAAGAAGAGGAGACCGCATGGTTTAAAATCAGGAAAGGTGTACATCAGGGTTATACCTTTCACCATACTTATTTAATCCATATGCTGAGCAAACAATCTGAGAAGCTGGACTATATGAAGAAGAATGTGGCATCAGGAGTGGAGGAAGACTCCTTAACAACCTGTGACGTGCAGATGATACAACCTCGCCTGCTGAAAGTTAAGAAGACTTGAAGCACTTACTGATGGCGATTAAAGTCTATGATCTTCAGTATGGATTACACCTCAACAGAAAGAAAGCAAAAATCTCACAACTGACTTGCGGACAACACGGCACTATAGTCAGAAGCACCACGCCGTCCCTCTGCAGCAAAGATCAGAAAAACTAAGTCAAACAGAGTCACACGTCAATCCTGAAGCCCTAAGCATCAAATGAAGAGATAAAGAACTCAGCCAAGCATCAAATGAAATAAGAAACTGACAACTGACTGAGAACAGAGAGCGAAGAGAGATACATGCAGAGGTCCCCATCAGCTACTGCAGCATAGATCTGCCATCTTGGACTCCTATCGGAGATCAGCAAATAGGGGGTATGAGAAAGCAGCTTCACGGAGCTTCCAGCAGGAGATAAAACAAC